CTCTCTCTCTCTCTCTCTCTCTCTCTCTCTCTCTTCTTAAGCATAACCAAAGGCTTCCACCCTGGCTTGTGTTAGTGGCCAAATATTATTCTTAAGAAAAAAACCTCACCTTTTTCTCAATTCGACGCCTCAGGCAAAGTGTTTCAAATCAACACTGCACATCTTGTTATTAAAATTACTACTGATCTGAATCATGAAGCAAGCTAGTTTGGCGTAGTTTGTTCTGAAATTTATGTCCACACGAGAAAATATTCCAAGCTTAAATTTTTGTTGATTTGGTTTTGTGACCTAGGTCGACTTACAAGAGTAATATAAGAAATATCTATTCTCTCTTAGTTCACTTAGTTCCCACGGCTGTTAGCCTCGTGTCGTGTCTGCCCAACTTTGAAACTAACTTTGTTCAATGGAAGTGGATTAGTTTTACTGACCAGGAGGTGGAATTAAACTCCTATAGCAACAGCAACAGTAACAAAAAACAGCAACAACAACTGCACTTGCAATACAATGTGGTCATAATAAAAGGGTCGAAAATTAGAAGTGTTACAATAGAGAAACAAACGCATTAAAAGGAGGAGAGATAAGGGCGTCAACCGGTTGATAGGAAAGAAGGAGAAAACCACTTCATAGCATCCACCAACCATCCACATTCTTGGTCTTTAGTGTATTTGGATAGCTAGGTCAAATACATGACGTACATGGTACCGGTGTCTGCAGTGTAGCGGAAAGGCATTCTGCCTTGGCAAGCAGAATATACGAGTTCGATTCCGGAGGAATTTTTCTTCTGGTACGTTGCACCCCTCTCAGCCTGGAATGGCCCTCACAGACAGGGTCAAAGCCTATGTCCCAAATGATCTAAACTGTGTCGATGTGGCGTAAAAACACCTACCTTATCAATTAAAAAGCTGTCATATTCGATAGCGAACGTGGTAATTTCCCGGTAAACCACATGGCGTCTACGTTTTTCGTATGCCTTGACCACAAAACTCATTGACGTGTTTGGTGTTTTTGGACAACTGGGCCAGAGACAAGTAGAAGGTGGTCCACCATTAATTACAGGGATTCTAAAATACTAAGGGTCAATCCCATCTAAAATAGTTACGGTGATTCTAAAATACTAAGGGTCATTCCCATCTAAAATAGTTACGGTGATTCTAAAATATTTAGGGTCATTCCCATCTAAAATAGTGTTGAAAGTCAGGGTGTCACGGGCGCCCTTACATGTGTTTGTAGCGTTTAGGACTTTCTACGTTGCACGCAGGAGAACTGAGTCAGATTCCCGTGTGAGGAGATTTTTTTGTCGAGTATCTCTTCTAAGCCCGGGGCATCTCTGACAGGCAGGCTCAAAGCCTGTCTTTTAAATGGTCTAAACTGTGTTGATGAGAGTGTAAAAACATGTGGGTCGTCCGCAGGTACTCTCGTGAGATTTGCTCCTTCTTACCTATCCGACATCATTGTGTCACGCTTTCACTTTTTTAATGTTGCTCTCTAATAGTATCTTTGATCTCGACACGCATATGACCTACTTGAGTTGCCAGTGCCGTAAAAACTATTAGTGAAACGAAAATATTTTTTTAAAAACAAAGGAAAAAAATATTAAAAACGTAAAGACAGCAATCCTATCTTATTAAAAAAACAACCTCTCCAGGGCACTGAAGGTGGAAAGGAGGTTACCGGACATAAGGAGCTACTAACTGTTCATTTTTCTGGGCGTAGATCAAAGAGCCTATATAAAACTTCTTTGGCATAGATAAATACACGCACACGACGTAGCAATGGAATGTTTTAAATTTAATTTCAGAAGATATTACTTCATTTGAGAGACAGTAAAGTGGAAAAACTGTTTTTGTTTTGTTTTTTGGGATGACAAAAACGTCTCTAATGTGGAATAAAAATGCTATGCTATGTTCACTCCGACAGATTCATAGAAATTGTTTGGTATCGTAACCAGGTGATGGCGTAATTGCTGCTTGGATGGCTCGGTGACCTAATTGGAACTAAGCTTCGGTAATACTCAATAGATCAATCTTTTTACCCTCAATTATATCGATAAAATCGGTGTCCGCCATGTAGCAGTCAAGCGCTCCACCTTATCACACAAAAGATCTCATAGATTGATTCTCGTACGGGGGAGAATTTTTATATCGAGTATCTCAAGTTTTCTCACAGGGTGTTTAAAATCATGAAATTATTTTCTCTGCGCCGTTCAATGAGTCGTTCACCGCATTCATTCTCTTTACCCATCCCCATGGCCCAACTATACTTTCTATGCATGTACCTCCTATCTTTGCTTTAAAGTCCCCCATAGCTAGCTTTACAGCCTGAGAGTTTAGTTGTTTCCTTGCCCTATCAAGGTCTTCATAAATGTCTCTACTTTCTCATTGGCATGCTCTGATGTCGGAGCATATTCTTTGAGTACACGTATGTCGGAGCATATACTTGGAGGACACTTATGTCGGAGCATATACTTGGAGGACACTTATGTCAGAGCATATACTTGGAGGACACTTATGTCCAAAGATTGTCCATCCAGTTTAGCAACAATGACTTTCTGACACTCCCCAAAATTATTTGATGCTCTTTGCTGTAGCCTCATCAAATAAAGTTCCTACTCCTTTTTCAAGGGATATTCCTTCTGAATATACTATTGTTTTTTAGTGTGTTTTAATCAAGACTGACCCCTCCCATCTAACTTCTGAAAAGCTAACTATATTAATGTTTTAGCTTCATCTTGTCCATTTCCTGCTTTATTTTGTCTAAGGCCTCTCTTTGGTGCATAGTTCTAGCATTCCATTTGGCTGTTTTACATGTTTTAAGTCTAATTTAGCAGCTAGTAGCTGGAGGACGGTCGGGCGTCACAAGCTGTCCGTGGTGGTCCCTCCAGTGAGAGGAGTTCAGAGCTGGATCGTGTACCTCCTTAACGCTGTTATCTTTGGAATGTAGGCTACATGATTTGTCTTGAGAGATTACAGTTGTGATTTCCTGTTGCCTGCTGCCGGTTTGTGAGCAGTTTTCTCTGCTATCCTTCGGCATCCATTGAAGGTTCACAAGGCAGTTGGGGCTTTGGTAGGATTTATGGCTCCTCCCGTTTTGAAATCGTCCTCAACCCTCCACGACCATCTCCCATTTGGTTCGCCACTGCTTGCAATCTAACCTCCATATATGGAGGTCTTTCCCCAATCCACCACATGGGAAGGCGCACGGTTGGGTAAGGGGAATAATACTAAATCTTAGTACTTCCAATTGTCTTGTTTTATGAGTAAAGAGAAGCACGTCGACATAAAAATGATCATTTAGGGCTGAGAAATATGTAAGACAGATAGACAGAAACAACAGAGGGAAAGTAGAGAAGTAGGGCCTACCAGTGGCGCCCTCCAACCACCCGCTAGTACTTCCAAGTCTATCTATACACATACAAATATTATTGTATTACGTAGATGTATTTACCTGAGAGAAGTAGTTCTGGTAATCCTTGGCTCCGGCCACTACCAGAGCCCAGTTCTTGCCGGACTCCACTCTGACCACAAGGACAACGGCCAGCAGAACCAGAGAGAGGACTCCGTGATGTAACGCCATCTTCTCTGTCTTGTGTCTTGTAGTTCGCTGCTCGGCAATGTGTAACGTTTGCTTCTCTCTCGATTTTCTGTCCTTCTTCTTGTTTAAGAAAGCGTGAAGACTTGAATAATATCATGAGGCGGGGCATGCAACCAGGTGGGGTTTTATACATGTATGCCAATCTCTTATCAAAAATTGTGCAATTTTAAGTGCCTTGGGATGTAACTAGTTACTTTAAAAAGGACCTGTTCATGAACAATAGGCCGGTCATCAACCAAAGATTGTGCTATTTTAAGCGCCTTGTGATGTATCGTGTGTCTAAAAAAGGGACCCGTTCAAAGAACAATAGGCCGGTCATCTTTGGGCTAATTTCAGCAATTCTTCGAAGAAACAAAATTCAACCAGCAGGACGTTATATTTGTCAATAATAAGAGAAAAGTGTTTAAAATTTCAACTAAACTTGTGTAAAAAGCAAAACTTTGCAACTTCTCAAAAATCAACCACACTGTTTCATTTCAAATAAACACTGAGTGTCCATTGAAGAGTACATTTTACATAATTGATATTGCCAAATAAACTCAGGGAAGGTGGTGGCTATTCAAATCCCCAGGTACTGACCATTTCTCTTTATACAAGCTCCTATACGCCTCTGGAAATTTTGAACAACGCTGCAGAATGTTTCTGAATCTTTTCTTTGGACTTTCTGTTCAACATTGAGCTTCAACTGCTTGATTGTTTGTGGGTTGTTTCCGTACGCTCTGTCTAGAAAAAAAAAGTATTAATTGAAGGGGCTCAGATTGATACAAATGTGATCACCGTTCATCTGTAAGCTTTCGGCTCCAAAGGCGTACCCCAAACCTTTCTTCCAACCACAAAAGGACCACTCTTAACGTGGGGAGTGTGGCACAATCCCACTCTAACCAGGCCTCTATATCGTAACACCTTCTCTCGGAACTTCTCCAAATATTTTTCAGCACAGTGAGACATCCATTGATGTGAATGTCGTAGTTGTACCGTCTTTGTCCTGAAACCAGAACGAACCGATTACGTCACTGTAGCTAAACCCTTTCAAGATGTTGACTTTTGAGTTTTACCCAATTTGTTATGAAATTTTTTTTCAACGTAATATTTCTCGAACGCGGGAATTGATTTTCTTTTCAAACTTGATGTCCATCTGACTGAATTTTATTTGTTCTAAGTCTTGTAGAAATTAGTGCAGCTATGACATAGGTATTTCCGTTTAAGTGGGCCCTCTCTTTTTTTAGACACACTGTATGTGTGACTTGTCAATTGTCATATTATTCATTACCCCTTTCCCCAGTAACTGAGAGTAACTCACCCGTTAACCACACTTCATAAAAATCTTGAAGGTTCTTTTTTTCTAACCTATTCAAACTCAATGTAATCCTCAACATAACCATAATGAACCTCATATATTCACGAAAATT